GACCTGGGCTAGGACTGGGTCTGGGGGCTCCTGGAACTCGGCAGAAAATCCTACTGGGCGGGCGGGTTGGGGGAGGCACTGAGGAGTGGTGGGGGGGGGCCCGAGGGGCTGGGAGAGGGTCCGGCCCACGCTGCCGCCTGGGCTGGGACTCCAGAATTTCTTAGATGACATGGTAGACAGTCAGTCACCTATGCTGTAAATGAAGTTTTTGAAACCTTGACATGCTCCTGTCTTTGGTTTTGCTATCAGACATTGTAAGAGTTAGATGTTAGGAGATGAAGTTTGGTCTAAGTTGTTCTGAAGCCAAGGCACGATGCTAAGGTTCTTTTCTGTCTCTGTGTTAAACAAAGGGAGCAGGAGGTACGAATACAGGGTCAAATGTCAAGTCTCATTGTCTATTGTTGCTTTTGATATATGTAAATTAAATCAAGGCAAAATAAAAACATTTTATATAGAAAAAATATTTCCAATAGATATCTTTAGAAGATTTTGTTTTTATTATGCTAACATGAAAGAATCAATGTGATTCTGAAGGAAATATCAAAAAACATATTAAAAATTGGAAGAATTTTGGGAAGGGACAGATGACATATTGTATGTCGCTAATTTATAGAAATAGGCATGAGATAATTGTAATATGAGACCAAATTAAATAGACTTTGAAACTGAACAAAGGAAAGAAGGGACATGATTTCATCTGATCATGGGATAAACTGCCTGGTATCATTTGAAAAAGGAATTTCTCAAGAAGTGTAGAAAACAATATAAAATAACTTTTGTACTGAGGAATGTGAGAATAACAGACGTATGTGAAATCTGTGTTTCTTCATTGATTAAGGCTGGAAGCTCTGCTGTGAAGTTACTCGAACGTGAGGTGAACATCCTAAAAAGTGTAAAACATGAGCACATCATACACTTGGAACAAATATTTGAGACGCCTAAGGTAAAGTTCCATCAGGTGCTGTGTTTTGGAAGTTATTATTGTTACAAAATGAATATCATTCCTTTCTGAAGCAATCCCTCTGGGCACAGTTGCTCATGTCCTTGGCATGAGTCTGTCACTGCAGATTGATGAGAACATTCTCGAGGACTTTTATTATTGATTGTATAATTAGGTGTCTGATGATTAGATTGATGGCTTTTGTAATATGTTCTGGTGGCATGTTGGAAACAAATGTTTAAAATTAGAACAACTTCATACACAGCTAATAATGATTAGAGCTTCCTGAGAGATGGCCTTCCTTTTGCTTTAGTTCTGTGTCTCTCCATTAGTCTGTTGGAATAATGTCACATGTTTGCAAGTTTAGTTTCTTGATCACATTGGCCTGATACACTTGGCATTATATAGAAAATAGTTTATCACCCATGTCATTCCCATATGTTTTATCTTCTTTTCTCTGTAGATGTTATCATTCTTCTCTTTAAACACTTTTACTTTATCTAGAGTCATTCAGATGCCTGGTTTATTTTTCATCCTGCCTCTCAATTGTTGTAGATTTGGGTTGTTGTAGATTTATCCACTTGGGAGCAGCATAGTGCAGTGGTCAGACATGTGGACTCTGGAGTCAGATTGCTTGTCACGTGACTCCTGACTCCATGACTCATTACCTACTGGAGCACAGTCAAGTTACTCTGCCTTTTTGCACACCTCATTCCTCATCTGTAAAATGGATTTAATAATACTGTTTACTTCACTTTGGTTATTGAAGTAACCAAATGAGACACTGGGACACTGTTAAAGCATCTGTCTTATTAAATGTCAGTGTTAATTTTCTTTGCCAGTCTCTAAGGTAGTAATACTCAGTTTGGGTTATGTGGTGTGTTAGATTTATTAAGAGTGCTTGATAACTGTTAAAGATCACAGTTGTCCTTCATAGGAGTAGTATGTGGAAATGATAACAAAAAATCAAAAGTCCTCTCTACCCTTTCCAGTCTTAGGTTGTAATTGTTTGCATCCTTCATCTCACTCTCCCCTCTTGTCAGTGCTGGCATCAAACCCAAAACCTTGTGCATACTAAGTGTGTGTTGTGTCACCGTGCTACACCCTAACCTCAACTTGTAATCTCCCTTGTCTCCAGACCTTCTTTGAATAGCTTTGTTCTTTGTCTCAGTTTTAAACAATTTGATTATGATGTGTTATGATATAATCCTCCTTTTGTTGTGCTCAGGCAGGGTTCATGGAGTCTGTGAATTATGGAATTCATCAAAGTTAGGAAATTCTTTGGCCATTATTTCCTCAAATAGTTTTTGGGGACTTCAAATACATATGGAAGATTGTGTGAGTGTCCATAGTATGCTGGTGTCTTCATTCACTTTTTTCAACAGTGTTTCTTCTTTTTTCTCTTTGCATGATTTCTATTACTCTGTCATCAGATTTAATAATATTACATATGCTATTAATCTCTTCCAGTGGAATATATATATATATACACACACACACACACACATTCCATGTGTCTATTAGCATACTCAATCTTTCACTTTCTTGAATATAATTATAATAACTATAATATGATGCTATCTTTTTTCTAATTTTATCATGTGTGTCATTTGTAAGTCAACTTAAATGGATTGAATGTCCCTCTTCATTATTTTCATGCTTTATATACTTATTTTTGTTAGATTCTAGACATAGTGAATTTTACCATTTTAGATACTGGATGTTTTATATTCTTATAAATATTTTTGAACTTTTAGTCACTTATAAACACATTGATACTTTCAAAACTTGCTATAATTTTAGTTAGGTGGTACCAGAGCAACTGTGATTATTCTAGAGCTAGTTTTTCCCTACTGATGAGGTGTAACTCTCCTGAGCATGTATGCATTGCCCAGAGCCTCATGGATTCTGAGGCTTTCACTCCGGCTAGTGGGAGTGCACAGTTTCTAGACAAGAGCAAGCTCAGGTGACTGTTCTCCCTGTTCCTTTTGCACAGTTCATTTCCCACCTTTGGGAAATGTGCTGATTAGCATTCTGCCGAAAACAAAGTAAGTCTCTGGAGTTTCCCCTCTTTGTTACTATTGTGTGAAGTTTAGTGGTCCTGGTCTTGTTGAGCTCCCACTTCCACCTCATCACACTCATAGAGTTTCTGGGGCCTGCTTGGATTTCCCATCCCTGCCCTGTGGTCTAGAAACTTTCTCCACTCAGGAATCATAGGGTCTTGGTCTTGGGCTCTCTCTCTCTCTCTCTCTCTCTCTCTCTCTCTCTCTCTCTCTCTGTCTCTCCCCCCTTCCCTTCCTCCCTCCTTCTCTTTCTCCATCTCCTCCTCCTCCTCCTATTACTACTCTAATGTCTAAACATTGTTTTAAGTATCTTGGCCAGTTCTTTTTTTTTTTTTTAATTTTAGTACAGAGTCTACAGTGTTTCACTATGTAGATTGGACTCCCAGTGATACTCCTGTTTTCAGCTTCCCAAGTGCTGGGATTATAGGCGTGCACCACCACACCCAGTCTTCTTGTCCAGTTCTTAAGTTGTTTCAAACAGAAGGATAAATCTGTTACTCCACCATGGATGTTAGTGGAAATACAAGTTTAGAAAAGTTTAAAGACTAAGGAAACCACCATCTGTGATTGTCCTCTTGTGTGTATTGCTCATCCTTGATTCACACAGGCCAGATATGCCCTTTCTACTTTATTAAATTCGAACAAATGTCTAGACTTTTCTTTTCTGTCTCTTTTTTTTTCTTTTGAACACAGCAAGATTTTATTGTCTTCACAATAAAACAAACCATGAAAAGTTAAAACTGGATCACGTGGCCCTTTCTTTTCTTACCTCTTCCCAGTTCCAAATGCTTGCATCTCTTGATAGCCAGTGTTCTCTTAGACCTGCAGTTGGGCTCAACACACTCAAGCCTCAGGACCATCTTCTGTGTAGTTTTGGCTTTCTGGAAAATCGGCTGAGTCTGTCCACCATAACCACTCTGTTTTCTGTCATGATACCACTTTCCCTGGGCACATTGGGAATCCTTCCTTGGCTTTCTTGTACTGTGTCACTCTGTGGGGTTGTCACTCTGCGTGCTTGCCACGCTTCTTACAGAAAGTTCACCAGGTCTTGGGGACGTTCACCAGGCTTGCAGGTGGAGCCCTAGCCAGGACAGCTGGACTTTTCATTAAAGCCACCTAAAGGAAATTGCTGCCTAATTAGTTAAATACAGATCATTTCTGTGGTTTCTTATGAATCCAAATATTCTCCAGATCTTTGTAGTTGTTTTTAGTAATTATAAGACAACTTGTTTTGTAGGTTTTATTGGTATAATTTTGATCAACTTACGTATTTTAAATTGACATCAATTTACAGTATAGCCACTGTTAATGTACCTTTTCCTTCCAAAGAGTTCACTTGACATTCAGGTACCAATGATCCTAGAGTGCTGCCAGTGAAAAATATGGTCACCTCAAAGGCTGATTTATGTGTTAGACTTGCAGTGATTTTTGTAATTTTAAAGTGAATTTCAGTGAATCAGAATTGTGTGGTTAAAATTAACCTATTTTTCCTGCTTTAAGCCTTACTGATTGAATACAGAGATTATAATAACAGTAGTTAGAACAATAGAAATGGATCTCAAAATATTAAGAACAACCAAAATTGAGCAGCAGAGGTTCGAATGGGGATGTGGAGGGTAGTCTGTGCCCGGCACAACTCATGTGGAGAGGGCCTGCATTTTAGTTACCTGAATCTTTTTGAGTGAATAGATGATTTGCCTGTTTTAATACCTAAAGAGATCATAATATGCCTCAGAAGAAATGGCATATGTGGCTGAGGCATTTCGTCCACGCCTTCTCTCTACAATACCCAGTTAGCAGGCGAGTCTCTGTGTTTATACCTCCTATGTATTGCCATGTCTTTTTCATCTCCCCTTTTTTGTCTCCGTTCTGAACCTCACATCTACCCCTATAAAAAGAAGTCAGTATATGACAGCCTATGAGCTAAATCTGGCTCTGCACATTTTTGTATGGCCCATAAGCCAAGTTTTCTACATTTTCAAATCATTGAAAAACTGTAAAGGAGTAATATTTCATGACATGTGAAAATTACATGAAACTCAAATTTCCAAGTCCATAAATAAAGTGTTGTTGTCTTGTTTATGGCTGCTTTCATGCTGCAGGAGCAGAGCTGAGTGGCTGTGAAAGAGACTGTGTGGTCTACGAAGCCTATAACATTTGCTCTTAGGTTTGGCCTTCCTAGAAAAATGTTGCTGATCCCGGCTATGCATTACCTTTAGGGTATTCATTTAGAAATGCAAAACTGATAATGCTACCATATAACTTCCTGCCTCCCAAGATGTTAGCCTAAAAGTCCTTACTGACTTCTTGTTGCATACGGGAAAAGAAATCCATCCTCTTTAGCACGATATCCAAGGCACTTTACAACTTGGCACCAACCCTTCCTCACTATCAGGCTCCCAGTGCTATTAACACAGAGATATTTGTCATTCTTTTAGCAGCTAGTGCTGTTTCAAGTTGTTGTTGAGACCATTCCCATGTGCTCTGCCTTTTCCTCTGCATTCTGCATTCTCTACCTGTAAACCCCTGTTCAGATATTGTCCCTGGCTAGACTGTCTCTCCTTAGAATCCTTCAGGCAGAAGCTGCCCCTTCTCCATAACCCAATAGCGTCTGGGTCATTGGCACTCGGCATGTGACACTGTAGTTGTAACTACACCGTGGGCTTCTTGAGGGCAAGGCTATGTGCCTACTCCTTAGCTCCTCCAGGAACAGTATCTTGCAAGTAATACATAAAATATTTTTGAATGAATAAATTGACTTTAAGATTGTGATCATATGTGCAATATGTGACATTTTGAGCATACCCAGATACATACTCTTTCTTTCTCTTTTAAATATATAATGTCAGAAAATGTACCTTGTGATGGAGCTTTGTGAGGATGGAGAACTCAAAGAAATGCTGGATAGGAAAAGCCATTTCTCAGAGAATGAAACACGGTGGATCATTCAAAGTCTCGCATCAGCTATTGCGTATCTTCACAATAAGGGTAAGAAGAGGACCACACTCCACCCACAGATAGCACTTTTGTTTAAAAGTAATTGTATTCAGAATTCAGAGTTAACCTTTTACTATGAATAACCACTATGAAGACAACAATATACAATGTATTAATTATTGAAACTGTCCTAATCGGTTTTGAAACTGTCTTATTGCTATTTGTTTCTCAATAAAATTAACAATAACAACAACAACAAAAAAAAAGAATTCAGAGTTAATAAATAGCACTTGGTAATAAAGGATAGTTATTTGTTATTTATTTTCTATTTTCTTTTAGTTTTAGATATATTTCAATTAGAAACAAAGCAGGTATATAGTTACATAGTATATGGACAAAGAAGCAGTTGTGAGCATTTCTACCCAGTTTGAATAGCAGAGAATAGTATTAAATCAAAATTAGACAAATACATCACTGACAAAGCAAAACAAAAAAAGGAGGATATACAGGATGGACCATTTTGTAGTGAAAAAATATATATGTATATACAAAATAGGTTAATATACATCTACTTTCTTTTAGTTCAGTGAGAAGAAAGGTTTGTACTGATATTGTTTAGACAAGATATCATGCCTGTATCTTGTCTTCTGAATAACTACTACGAAGGCAATAATATGCAATGTATTAATTATTGTAACTGTCCTACTAACCAGTTTTGAAACTGTCTTATTGCTATTTCTTTTTCATTAAAATTAATTAAAATTTTTTAAAAAGTGTAATACAGATCCAACAACAAAAAATTAGACAAATAATGTTTACATTTCATGTGTGGAGTTGCTACAAATATGTACTAACAAAAATTAAAATTTGAAGCTAAGAGAAATCAGATAATCTCTTATTGTTCCCTCATACATGAAAGAGCTGCTTTGCCTCTTACTGAATTCTTGGACCCAGCAATCTCCTCTTCGACATTCTGAGAACATTCCAATTTCTTTTGTAAGCAGGCTTTTAAATTTTATTTGTTTCTTAGATTGCATATTAGATCCTCTTTCTGTGTTTGAAATTAAGACATTTCTAGGTCTTGATCCTAATTTTTATAAGTTTTTTTGGAATATAATAATTGAACCCGGTCTCCAAAACAATCTCCAAGTTTTAAAGAAAGAACAAGCTTTCTTTGTCTTGATTAGTACTCTCAATAAATTCATTTTCTTTTCAGTACTTGTATATAGACTGTATTAATGTATATATCTAGGCAAGCAATGGAGAAGTTTTAGAGCTTTGAATGGCACAAATACGGGGCCGGCCAGAAAGCTCAGCAGACTAAAATGCCTTCGTAGGCAGGTGGCAGGGACTGGGATTTGATCCCCAGCCTGCTGTGCTGGCCCTGCCCCTAGGGCACACTAAGACAATAACTGAGACTGGGCATAGTGCCACTTGCCTGTAATCCCAGTGCTTGGGAGGCTGAAAATAGGAGAATCATGAATCTGATCTGTGTAGTGAGACCCTGTAGACCCTGTACTAAATACATTTAAAAAAGTATTCATTTCAGTGGCACAAACAGCCCATTGCAGCATGCATGCCATAGGGTCATCACTACGAGTGTAGACTTTTCTTGTTTTGAGTAATTTTAGACTTTATTTTTGAGTAGTTTTATATCCACAGCAAAATGGAGGAGAAAACACAGAGCTTTCCTTGTGTTTCCCATTCCACCATGTACAAAGCCTTCTGTACTTTCAAATTCCACACCAGAGCAGTACATTTGTTGTTACTGATGTTCCCATATTTGCACATCACTATCACTGAAAACATAATATCATAATATTATATATATGCAAATAATATGCAAAATAAACACAGAAATATATAATACAGAATATACTATAACATGCAAAAGATAATATACAAAATATAATAAAATATAAGATAATACTATAGCCTATGCTAGAAATCACTCTTGGTGCTAAACATTCAATGGATTTTGACAAATATTGATGACTTTTCTCTACCAGTATGGTATCATACAGAGTAGTTTCACAGTACTTATATTTTTATTTATGTATTTAGTACAGGGTCTACAGGATCTCAGTACGTAGAGCAGACTCATAGTGATCCTTATATTTTCAGCCTTCCAGGCACTGGGATCATAGGCACGCACCACCATGCGCAATCTCAGTTGCTGTCTCAGTGCACCCTGGGGGCAGGGCTAGCAGCATGTGAGGGATAGAACCCTTGTCCCTGCATTTGCCTAAGCAGGTGCTTTAATCCACTGAGCTATCTGGCTGGCCCTTTCACGGTACTTTTAAATCAACATTTTAAATTTATTCTATTATGCTAATATCTTTACTATTTTTTGGACTTAATGGTATTGTTTTGTCTCATGCTACTTCTTTCTTCCTTCAAGTTTATTTTGGCTTACATGTTGCTTTAGGACTTTCTCATTTTACAGAGAAAGAAAAATTTTGTCTCAGTGACATAGTGAGCTGGTACTGGAACCTTGTGCTTCCTCAGCAGATACTTCCTGAGTACCTAGTGCACTGTGATTGGTTCTAGAGTTATGAAGATTAAAATATAAAGCCCCAGCTAGATGTGGTTGCAGAAGCCTGTAATCCCACCACTTGGGAGGCCAAGGCAGGGGGATCTCTGAGGGTTCCAGGCCAGCCTGGGTTGCAACATGAGTTCAAGGCCAGCCTAAAGTGCATAGCAAGACCCTGTCTCAAAAAGACTATAAATAAATAAATAACTATAAGGCCCCCACTTCTCAAGGAATTAAAGCCAGTGGGACAATGAATATGGAAAATGACTTCTAATCCAGTATGTTGAATACTGTCATGGAGAACCATACAAAGTGCAAAGAGCACAGGAATGTAAGTGCCCACTGGATTTGAAAAGTCAGGAGAACATTTAGAGGAAGTAATATTTTATTTGAAGGATACAAACTCAGTGAAAAAAGAGGGAGGGCCTTTTAATCAGAGGGAAATAATTTTTGCAAAAGCTTACCATTATGCTCATGTAAACCTTTTCATAGTAAACTATCAATTCAGTATAAGTCCAAACAAAATCTTAGTAGCATTTTCATGGAACTTGATAAGCTTACTCTAAAATGGGCTAGAAGCCAGACAACAAGTAAAAAGAACAACAATAGAAGTGGAATCTTGCCTTACCAAGGGTCAAAGCATATTACAATGATTACTAATGAAAATGTGTGGAACTCATGTAAGAAAAGGTGAGCAGAGCAACGGAGGCAATAAAACCCCAAAGCTAAACCCTGGGGCTGAGTGAGGGCCGCAACTGCCTGGGTCTAGTTGTAAGTGCAGGGCTCATGCAGCTTCCTCCTTCCAGGGCTGGAGGAACTGAGCATTTGGATTCTAGAGATACAAATGCCAGAGATACCAACTGGTTCGTGTTTGGCACGTGGTTGTTTTCATGAACATAAAAATCTAATGTGAGCTTCTCCTGCCTTGTCCAACTGCAAATTTTGTGTTTTAAAGATTTTTTACAAAGGGCTGAGGAGATAGCTCAGCAGTCTTAAGTGCCTGCTGGGCAAGCACAAGGACCTGGCTTCAATCCCTGGTGTCGCATGCCATGCTGGCCCCAGAACCTGGATGTGCCATGCCAGGCACTGAAGCTGGGCTGGGAAGGGCTGAGACGGGAGGATCACTGTGAGTCTGAGCTGTGCAGCAAGACCATATAATAGATAAATACATAATAAATAATTTTCTAAAATAAAGATTTAGAGGCAGGGGAGATGACTCAGTAGAGTAAGTGCTTGCCTGGCAAGTGCAAGGGCCTGAGTTCAATCCCCGGTTCTGCCAAAAAATAAAATAAAGATTCAGAAAAGAATTTTAATGTATAAAGAATAGGAAAGACTGGGTGTGGTGGCTCATGCCTATAATCCCAGCACTAGGAGGCTGAGGCAGGAGTATCACTGAGGGTTCCAGGCCAGCCTGGGCTACAAAGTGAGCTCAAGGCCAGCCTAAACTGCATAGCAAGGCCCTGTCTCAAAAAGAAAAAAAAAAAAAAAAAAAAGACAATGTATGCTGATATTATAGAAAAAGGCACCTAAACATAGTTTGTATATATGTAGTCAAATTACAATATGTTATAATTCTTATGTTCACAGTAACATATGTGGAGAAGTAAAGAAACCATCCCTCTTTTGAACACCTAAGGATAGGAGAAACCTTTCTCGGCTTCTGACTAAGAGCACCTCCCTTCTGGGAATGCCGGGCCTTCGCCAGGGTCCTCTACACCATTGGGCCACTCATCATGAAGAGCAGTCAGCTGGAGCAGGCAGGGAATGGGTGGGGATGAAGAGGCGAGGACAACGCTCCTGAGGGTTAGAGATTCAGGGGAGAGTGCTTAAGATAACAGAATGAGAATTATACTTAGTCCCACTCCAAATTTTCAGCAGCAAATGTTAATCTGTTAACTATCTTTACTATCCTAGTTTTGTTACCTTCATTTTCCATTATTCATTTCATTTGACTTGTTGTCTATTCTCTTGGTAGATATAGTACACAGAGATCTAAAATTGGAAAACATAATGGTTAAAAGCAGCTTTATTGATGCTAACAATGAAATGAACTTAAATATAAAGGTAAGATATTAGAAATGGTGATAAGTATTTGTCCATACACAGTTTAACAGCAAAGTGGCAAAATAGATCTTTTTAGATACATTTTGGTGGATTTAAAGCAGCCAGGAAAGGAGTGGTTTGTGCTAGAAACTAAAAATGTCACAAAGGAGGTTGTAGCTGACAAGAATAATTTTACAAGTTAAGTTTCACAACTGTATTTTTTAAAGTACATACCCATTTGGATGGCGCCAAACCATTAGTTAATAGCGAGCAAACAGATGCTCTGAATGCTAATTAATTTCAAAATTATGCCTGGTAATTTAATGTAAATGTGTTACAGATTTAGAGAAAAACACACCTTGGCTGTGCTTTTGAGAATAAATGCTACAGTCTGTATTTCTCATTGACAATTTTCCTGGGTATTAATATTTATGTCTTAAGCACAATTAATGTGCCAACTGTTTATTCTTGAAGATTTTATTCAAATTAAGTGTTCCTTAATGTCAAATAAATGATAGGAGTCATTATTTATTACTCAGCACTTTAATAGTGAGTGCTTTGGAAATATGTGAATGTGTTGATTTTGGGATGAACCCTTGCGGTTAGCTACTTACAGCTGCAGAGGCGGAGTCATAATGCAGTGTAAATAGGCTCGAGGGCGTTATTGGACCACACAGGTCAATGTCCTTGAGTATTTGGTAAACTTCATGAGGGCAGGGATTGTGTCTGTCGTACTCTTGGGACCTGGAGGAGTGCCTGAGACACTGAATATGCTTAATTAGTATTTGGCAAGTGAAGGAATTGAGTGGTCTCCAAAGAATTCAGTTGGGTTGCAAAATTGTGTATTTGATGTCTGCATAGATTTTCAATAAAGATGTACATCATAATGCTTCAAGTGGGATAGTATGAAAAATCATGGAGAAATTGATCCATCTATTTAGAAAGATACTTATATTACACATGAGCCAGGAACATTTTCTTATACCAAGAGATACCAGAAACCTTTTGCAGTCAGTGTTGACCCAGAGCCTGTATTTATATGATCAATAAATGTGCCTGCATTTCTGCTTTCAGCCCAGGGTGTTCTACCTTGGGAGAGAAGACCAAGGGCACATTCTAAATATTTAATAAGCAAGTGTTTAATTACCAAGATTTAGCATGGAGCGGAAAGGCTGCAGTTGCTGCAGCAGCAGGCCTCCAGTGTATTTGTAGTTACACTGTGGTATTGTGGATTTTTTTCTTGTTAATTTTCTCCTCGTAGTTTTTAATAGTGTAGTAATTGTTTTAATTAGTATGCTGTAGAATCACAAAGGAAATAATAGTCAAGAAAAGATAGTATTTACCAACTACAAATAATTATAAAAAAAGAAGAGCTTCAGTGAGTGCTGATAAAGGATAATTGCATTTCTAATGGTGCTTCAAAGTGGAACATAACTTGAGTATCAGAAAAGTAGATAATAAATACACTAAGGTTAGAATACATTTTGTAATGAAAGAACTTTTTAAAAACACCTTATCTGAAAAATACTAAATGATGGTAAGTGCCTTCTTCCAAGATGTAACTTCCTATTGTGAATGGGTGGGCTTAATTAGAGGGCACAGACAGTCTGTGTCCTGGGTGTTCTCTGTAGACTTAATGAGCCAACGTTCCCTGTTGAGTTTCTTCTCCACATGGAGAGGGAGGGAGGGAGGGAAAGAGGGTTCTCTGCTGGTAACACAGGGCAAGTCCTGACTCCAAGAACATAGTAAATAATGGTTGCAGTGTGGTGACAGTCCTGTCTTCAGGATGACTGAGCTCAGGGCTGGAAAGTGGGTGTCGATGCTGTGTTTCTTTCTTCTTCTAGGTGACTGATTTTGGCTTAGCAGTGCAGAAGCATGGTGGGAGTGAAGCCATGCTGCAGGCCACTTGTGGGACTCCCATCTATATGGGTGAGTTAGTACGCTTATAAGGATGCCTTTCTATGGGGAAAAAAGTCAAGTTAATAATGGATTGCAATTGAACAATTTGATTTTGCGATCAATGGCCATTGATCAAGCTACTTTTTTTTTAGTTATATCAAATAATCTTGGATTGCATTTTTATCATAGTTCCTATTTTCAAGGATTTTTTAAAGTTTTTTTTCCTCTAAGCTCTTCTTAAAGTTGTTTTGTTTATAGATTTTAGGTGATTATACCTCAGACATTATTTTTGTTGAATTAATCCAAAATTATGAGTGTATTTTGGTTCTTTTAAATTTTTGTTTAATTTCATTATCATCATTGGCCTGAGGGCATAGTTGAGCAGCACAGCACCTGCCTGGCAAGCACAAGGTCCTGAGTTCAATTCTCAGTACCAAAATAAAATTTCATTATCGTCAAACAGTTTTCATAAAGACTGCAGATTATATATCTATATATCTATATATCTATGTATAGATATCTATTGTGAAAGTCTGTTACCATGTTTCTAAAAATTACTTTTAGCAGATTTTATTAAAGTTTATTTAAATACCATAAAAGATGCTCAATTCCATGATTTTTTCATATAGTTACAGTTTTACAACCATTACCTCCATTCAGTTTTAAAATAGTCTTAGCCCAAAAAGTTCCCTTGTGCTCATTTATACTCAATCTCATTCCTACCCCAGCCCCAAGGAGCCATTAATGTTTCTAGCCTTACTTTTTTTTTTTTTAGGTTTGAGGGGTTTTTTTCAGTCTCTTAAGAGTTTCCTTTTTTTTTTTTTTTCAAACATTTCTTATAGAAGGAATCATACAATATGTAATCTTTTATGTCTGGCTTACTTTCGCTTACCATAATGGTTTTGCGGTATACTTGTGTTGTAGCATTTCTCTGTACTTTGTTCCTTTATATTTCTAAATATTTATCCATCTTGTGGAGACACAGTTTTTATTTATCTCCTTACTACCTGATCAACATGTGCAGCATCTCTAGTTTATCAATCATGCATGCCTAGGTCTGGTAGTCTGAGCAACAAATTTGTTGATGACAGTGCACAATGTAGCCACCATTGTTAATCTTCTATTCTTGTTTTGAAATTCTGAACCCTTTTTACTCTCTCATGTTACTTTGTTTTTGTTATTTGTTTTGTTTTTTTCCTCTTTGAAATAAAGAAATGATGCTGTAAACATTTGTGCACAAGTCTCTGTGGTGACACCTGGTTTAATTTTTCTTGGGTAGCTGAGCTATTTGGCCAGCCCCAATTTTTTTCAGTTTTTTAGAAACATGGTAACATAGTATTTCACAAAATATATTTACTCTGCAGTCTTTCAATAAGAATGAAATTATTGGGTATTATGTTTAATAAGTAGAGTAGTAAGCCTATGTTTAACTTTTTAAGGAACTACCATGTTTATTTTGCAAAATAGCTGCTAGCCTTCCCACCAACAATATGTTTGGGTTCTAGTTTTTATACTTTGCAAAATGAGGATTCCAATTTTTTCACATCCTTGTCAACTCTTGCTATTAGCTTTCTTTTTAATTTTTTCAGTGAATGCATATTTATCATATCCATTGAAATAATCATATTTCGCTTTAAGTTTATCAATGAAGTAATTACATTAATAGAGTTTTAAGTGTTAAACTATACTTAAATTTTAAGATTAAACCCCAGGTGGTTTAATATGATACTTTATTAGGTTCACCATCAATTTACTTAGGAGTTTTCACTGTAGCTTTCTTTGTTTCATGTTGCCCTTGCCTTTTTCGATGTTAGGAGTTATACGAGCCTCATTTAAAAACTGAAAAAAATTTAGGGCTGGTCAAATAGCTCAGTGGATTAAAGTACCTGCTGAGGCAGATACAGGGACCAGGGTTTGATCCACAGTGTGCTGTGCTGGCCCTGCCCCTGGGGCATGCTGAGATGGTGCTAGAGATTGGGTTTAGTGGCACGCACCTGTAATCCCAGCACTTGGGAGGCTGAAAACAGGAGAATCACTACGAGTCTGATCTGTGTAGTGAGACCCTGTAGACCCTGTATTAAATACATAAAAAAATAAGTAAAAATAAAAATTGAAAAAAAATTTTACAGTATGCTTAAGAAGCATTAAATATGGTGTGCGCCTGTAATCCCAGCTCTTGGAAGGCTGTAAATAGGTGGATTTTTTAATGCACCTATTAAAAAGGTGCAATAACGTAGTGAGACCCTGACACCCTGTAGACCCTTCCCTAAAATACACACAAAAAAGAACGTTTAAATAATAAGAATTACCTATTAGTTAACTAATAGTTTGACATTTCACCTTAAAATTTTTGGATCACCCAATCCAGAAATGGGCATCTGAGATGAACA